ATATTCTATCTTACATAAATTAAATCGAATTTTTAATAAATATAAATAAATATCAATTATTAAAAATTAAAATTTTAAAAAATTAAAATTCTATATAAATATAATATATAAAAATTAGGTATAAATAAACCCTTCATTTATATATATATATAATGAAGGAAAATGTATCATTACATGAGTTTGTAATCTGATTTGTAAAATTAAGATATTCTATCTTACATAAATTAAATCGAATTTTTGATCCTCAAAATCCAACAACAAAAACTTAGTATGTTTCCTTAAGGACAAGCACAGTACATAAACTCACGTTTTAAGCAGTAGAAATAGATTTATCTCAAATAAAAAAAAATTAAGATAAATCTATTTATAAACAGACACACACTGGAGCAGGGACCGTTGTCTTAGGCCACTGGACGGTCGGGCCGACAAGGCCCAGGTCGAAGGTGACGAATCACTGGCGTCTCCGCCTGTCGCCGGACGTTGCCGGCCCAGATTCCTAGCTGTCCGTTAGCGACCAATAATTATTGACTGCCGTGTATAAACAGCGAGGGATCGAAATCGAACAGTGATAGGACTAAGCACGCGCGCGCATCAATCCCTTTCTCAAATGCCCAAACTGACCCTTCTATTGATTACTGTTCATGTTCCCATGTGTGGACAAATACATGGGTAATTCGGACAGAAAATTAACAGAGGGCTGTACTAAACTACGCGCTCTTGTAGCATCTGATCCCCACTTGATTAAATTATAAAGCAAAAACTTACTTTTAGTCACTTATCTTTTTTTTAAACATTTTTAACCTAGCACTTTATTAGATGTATAAGTTTTAGTAATTTATTTATTAAAATCAAAGAAAATAGTTCTCATTTTATATTAATTGTTAATTTTGTTAATTAAAAATATATTTTTGTCAACTAACAGTCAACTAATAATCAGTTAATAAAATTAATGAAATATTATAAAATTAATTCTGTTAACTCTAGTAGCTAAAAGAAGATTTTTGTAAATTACCAATCAATTAATAGTCAATTAATAGAGTTAACAGTCAACTAACAAAACTAATAAAATATTACAAAGTAATAGCTACTTTTTTCAATTTTAATAAATAAGACACTAAAAGTGTTATAATATAAGGTGAGGAATTAAAATTTACAAATCTAGTAAGATAAAAGGTTAAAAATATCATAATATAAGATGATGAATTAAAATCTTTAAACTTGATAAAGGAAAGAGCTAAAAGTAAGATTTTGCCATTTGGCTGTTTTTAGAGGCCGTCAGTTATGGGCTCTTCATAAAATCAAAATTGGTTGACATTTCAAAAATAAATATTAACTGTTTAGTTTAATTCAATAGTTTAAGTTTTTTTTTTTAATGGGTTTGCATTTAGAGATGGGGATTCAAACCCTAACCTATGTGTTGAGAGTGCATCTTATATTATGTTTTATAATCATTAAATCATAAGATTCAAATGCAAAATAGTTTAAATATTTTAACTTATAAATAATAAATATATATAAATTAATTCAAATAATTTTATAATATGATAACACATTAGCTATTACATAAAAAGAAGTAGGTTGTTGCTAGGGCTAGGCATTTGGAAACCGAACCCATGAGTTACTTGGAAACTAAACCAAAAAATGAATTTGGTTCGATTTCAATGGTTTTTGATTTTTACTATTTCAATTTTGATATTAATCAAATAATTTTTGGTTTGGTTTTGGTTGAACTTTTTAAAAAATGAAAACCAAAAATAAGTCTTTGAAAATCGAAAATAAGATAAATATGACAAAATATAATAAAATATAAGATAAAATATAATTTATTATTAAAAAATAATTGATTAATATTTATTTAGTAAAAATCAAAACTAAACCGATTTTATTAATAATCAAACCAATTGATTTGTGAAAATTTTGATTCAATCTTGATTTTCAAAATTAGGAAAAAAAATTTAATTATTTTAAAATCGATTTCAATTTAACTAAAACCGATTTTTGCCCACCCTTAGTTGTTGCAATCAATGATACTATTAAAGTCAAATCAACCTGGGAACAGATGAGATATAAGAGTGAGTTAATTATGTTTATAATTATTTTTTCTCACTCTTATGAATATATTTTTTTAATTTTTTGGAAAATATTTTAAAATTTTTATTAATTAAACAATATAAAATAAAAGACATTATTTTAGTGCGAAATCACTTTAGGAATGGCAGCGACAACCCACCCCTATCAAACATTAATGGCAAAACCCTATTATTAAGTTCTTGAACTTATCTTAAATTTTCAATTAAGCCCTTAACTTTTATTGAAGTAAATAATCTTTTAAATTTGGTGATTTAGACCATTTAACCCTTTTTTTGACAATAGATTTAATACTCATTTGTATTTTACTTATGTAAATAAGGGATTGACACGTTATTACTTAAATGACAACTATTGATCTTGCCTATAGAAGTACAAGTAAAGCATAAACAGGGTTAAACATGCCATATGAAAGAATATTGAGTCGCTCATATCACTAAATTTAAAGATTTATTTGTTCTAATAAAAGTTCAAGACTTGATTAAGAATCTAAGATAAGTTTAAGAGTTTAATATACAATTTTATCAAATATTAATTAATAATCAATAAAATTGAGGACCTAAAACAAAAACTTATAAATTTTAATCATCCTAGTTGGCCACTTCCAAATGTTAAAAACATTTACATATTCGAAATTATTGCAATAATCTGCCAATTTAACCCAAAAAAAATTGAAAGATACATATTGTGAGTCTTAATTTTTTAAAGGTTTCTTACCGTTGGAATTGTAAAATAGTTTTTTTTTTTTTAAATAAAATTATGGTAAAAAAAGGTGCGCTTCCCCTTCGTGATTTCCGTCCCGGAGCCGGAGTCAAGAAAATCAAAGTCCGATCATAGAAAATGGTAAGATTGGACAGGCAATGACGCGGCGGAGCAGCATCACCACCGGCCATCGGTGCAGTTTAAAGAAGGAACAGACATGGGACCCATGGGCCCTATCCAGCCACTGGGCCCCACTTGCCCCCACTCGCCATTTCTCCCTCACACAACTACTAAAGTGCTCTCTGCACATTCACAACAAAAGCAAGAGCAAAAAAAAAAAGCAAAAGCTATACCCTGTTGTCTCTGCTACCCATCAGCGCCAAAAGCTTCCAGTTGCAGAGCTAAGTCTAGAGAGAGAAGAGAAAGAGGGGGAGACGGAACTCTGACCGTTCTGTCTCTACCAAATCTCTAGTTTATCTTTTGTTTCTTAGGGGGGAAATTGAAGACTTGAGTGAGAAGGAGAGAGAACAGAGCTCCAGCTCAGTTCATCCTTCATGCTTGAGCGGTAGAGGCAAAGGGGCCTCACTTCAAAATCATAGCTTGCCTTTTGCTTTACTACGGATTCGTAGCTTCCCCTTATCTGGTGATTCCCACTTGGTAATTGAATTTTCTGTTTTATGATTCCTTAAATCTTTCTAAGTGGGGGCTTAAAGATTTTTTCTCTGTATCTGGAATTGCCTGGATTCTTTGTGTTTGCTTCTTTTTATTTTTATTTTTATTTTTATTTTTTGGGGTGGGAGTGGCTTGAAGGTTGCGTGAAATTTAAGGGTTTATCTTGGGAATGTACCAATAAGAAGAGAGGAAATAGAGGGGAAATTTACATTTCACCTTGTTGAAATTGTGGGTTTTGTCTTTTGTGTTTCTGTAATTGTCTTTTAGTAATACCCTCTTTTGTGTTTCAGTTGATTGCAAATGAAGTTAAGTATTTCCAGAGTCAGTAAATTGTTTGATCTGGTGTGATTTTAGAGTTTTTACAGTTAGGTTTCTCTAATGAAGGGGTTTATAGCTCCAGGAACTAAAAGTAGAGGGTTATACAGCATTTATCTGATGTATCACTAGTCTCAAGTTTAATGACACTTGAGGGTTGGTAGCTCTATTGCTGTAAGTAGCAATCTATTGTCAATATCTTTGTTAAAAACATCTCTGATAACTTGGGAAACCAAATCAATATAGATCGGTAAACGGGGTGCCTGAGTTTTGAAGTTTCTGTTGTTTTACTTTCGGTCAGATGGTTAATGTTTTGTTGCTAGGCTAGGTTTGGTGTTAGCGAATGATATTATCAAAGGTAGAATAAAAATCAAGATGCCTATTCAAGTACTTAATAATAGCCAACCAGAAAACACAAGAACTCATTAAATTCATTCTCATCCATCTTTGCAGGTTGCTTGGCTGAAAGACTATTCCATGTGAAGATTTGTGGTTATTGGAAATGGAAAGGGTTCCAGAATCAAGGGTGCTTCCTCAGAAACTGCCTTCTCTTACTCAGATTTCAAATGCATACACTGCAACAAGGAGAGATGCAGATCATATTTCAATTGCGTGTGCAGGTTCAGTGAGAGAAATGGGTCAATTTAATGCAAGAAATGCCCGAGTTTTAGACTTGCCTGCACCTGGAAGAACATTGAAAGGAAAAGATTTTTTTCATGAACATGAAGAAATCATGCCAGCTGTTGCATTTAAGGGAAGTGGTGATTCATTTGAGGACGGCGGACCCAGTTCTTTCTCTGGTGCGAGTCATCCTCCAGAACCTGTTGACATGGATCTAATGAGAACGGTGTATGTACCAATTGGTCAGAGTAAATCTAATGCTGGGCATTTGATAAAGAACTTGTCAGTAAAGGGGCCTTTTCTAGAAGATCTTTCAATCAAGGTTCCTCCTAAGAAACCAAGCCCAGTTGTTCTTTCACCAGCAGAAAGTCTGGTTGAAGAACCTAATGACTTATGTATAACAGCTTCTCCATTTTCAGTCCCCCGTGCATCACAAAATACAGAAAACTCTCTTCTTCCACCAGATTCAGAGGAAAAGGAATGTGTTTGGGATGCTTCTTTGCCTCCAAGTGGTAATGTAAGTCCCCATAGTAGCATTGACAGTACTGGTGTTGTCACGGCTATGAGTATTGTCCATAGCTGTGCCAGTACTTATCGGAGTGATGTATTAACCAGTGATGGCATGCTTAGTCTGGATAAGAATTGGGAGAGTACAAAGGGGAGTGTCAGGGGAGATTCACTTGAAAGTGCAAAGACTAGTGTTAGTCGAGCAAGTGATAGCAGTGGCCTTAGTGATGACAGTAATTGGAGTAACATTACTGGGAGTGCTAATAAGCCTCATAAAGGAAATGATCCTAGGTGGAAGGCAATCCTTGCAATCCGAGCACGAGATGGAATTCTGGGGATGAGTCATTTTAGATTACTTAAACGGCTTGGCTGTGGTGACATTGGTAGCGTATATCTATCAGAGCTAAGCGCTACTCACTGCTATTTTGCAATGAAAGTAATGGATAAGGCATCCCTTGCTAGTCGGAAGAAGTTGACTAGGGCTCAGACAGAAAGGGAGATTCTGCAATTGCTGGATCACCCATTTCTTCCCACTCTGTACACACACTTTGAAACTGACAGATTCTCATGTCTGGTAATGGAATATTGTCCAGGAGGTGATCTACACACTTTGCGGCAGCGCCAACCTGGAAAGCATTTCTCTGAGTATGCTGCAAGGTATGTCTTACAACGTTTTTGGCATTCCCTAAGCTGTGTAGTTTATACATAAAAAACAGTCTTACTCCTTGGCATGTTCATCTTTTGTTAAATGTCTTCTTTTGTTAATTTTGATTTTGCTTTTTAACAAGTTTGCAAATTGCAAGTCTCTTTCCACGTGTCCTTGTTCTTTCCAAATTATTATTTTAGGGTAAGTTACCCCCCCTTTTCTTTCTTTATGGAAGGTATGTTAGCACCTATTTATATTTTAGTATTTACCAGAGAGAAGCCTTATTAAGATTTGGATAAGAAGAATCACCTTGTATGGACGCTTCTTGTCCTATCCCATGATGTCAATATTTTGTGGACAAATACTTGTTCATTCTGATATTTCTTTAGTCACAAACAGTTGGGTTGTATGGGTTTATAATCATTATGTCAGATTTATCTAATCTGAAATTAGGAATCTTTTCCTCAATCAGTTGTCTTGTCATCACAGAATCTTTCTTAACTTAGCTGTATCACTTCCAGTGCCAAAATTAGTTGTAGATGCCTCCTCAACTAAATGTCAATTGGCTCTTGGAATGTTTGAGTGGGACATCTTCATGACTTTCTAGAACATGGAAAGTCAAAGACAAACAAGAAAGAAAAGGCCATATCTAGATGAGGGCTGTTGGGTTAGTTTTAGTTTCCTTGTCTAGCAGTCTAACTCTTTAATGTACTTGTTGGGTTCCAAATATAAACAAGCGCTTGCATGTATCTGGCTCAAGGTGAGCAGAATGGGCAATGGTAGCTTTTTTGGAAGTACTGTGATAAATTCTGTTTCATATAATAATAGATCTACCCTTTCTTTTGCTTTGCAATTTACTTCATGTAGATGGAAGGAGGGAGGAAAGCTAAATCCCAAGCAGTGAGATGCCTACCTTCTTATTAAGATGCTCTTTTCAGATGGCTTAAATTGATATGATCTTGTGTTGATGGACCTAATACTCTATAGGCCTATAGAAATGGTAGTGAATAATGTGTGCAATTGGTATACGCTCCTATTTCTATTTTGCATGCTCTTCTTGTATTATTTTAGAAGCATCCATGATAGCAGCAGAGCAAATTTATGTCTCGTGGTTATCCTTTATGAAAATGGAATTGAATTAATCCCTGTGTAAGACATCCTGTGGGTCTCATTTATGCTCTTATTCTTGGGTGTGCAAGTGGTGTCTGGCCTGTAAGATACTTCAAGTCATACCCAATTAGATCAATATTAGTATTCACTTTAGAATTTCTGAGCTCTATGGTCATGCTCATATCATCCCTGAACACTTCAAGACAAGCAGTTCTGGATGCTAGTCTTTACCATGTTAAGGTATTAATCAATGTCTCTGTTTCTTTTCAAAGAGTTGAATGACATTTTTCATATTTTAGAAATTAGATCAGCTTGTCTTCAATAGGTTGGCTTGATTTTGCTGTGTGATCTGAATGGTGTAAGCATATTCTTTGTATTAAGTAATTTGCCAGCAGATTCCTAAATCACTCTCTTCTATTTGCAGATTTTATGCTGCAGAGGTTTTATTGGCACTTGAGTATCTCCACATGCTAGGGGTTGTCTATAGGGACTTGAAACCTGAAAATGTTCTAGTTCGTGATGATGGCCACATAATGCTCTCTGACTTTGACCTTTCTCTAAGATGTGCTGTTTCTCCCACACTGATAAAATCCTCAGCATTTGATTCTGATCCTTCAAAGCGTGGAGCTGCATTCTGTGTCCAACCTGCCTGTATTGAGCCCACATCAGCGTGCATCCAACCCGCCTGCTTTATTCCTCGGATATTCCCTCAAAAGAACAAGAAAAAAAACAGGAAACCAGGAGCAGAATTTGGGTTGGCATCTAGCACCCTTCCAGAGCTTGTTGCAGAGCCTACTGCGGCTAGATCAATGTCATTCGTTGGAACACATGAATATTTAGCTCCTGAAATTATCAAGGGAGAAGGCCATGGCAGTGCAGTTGATTGGTGGACCTTTGGAATTTTCTTACATGAACTGTTATATGGTAAGACCCCATTTAAAGGCTCAGGGAACCGTGCTACACTGTTTAATGTTATCGGACAGCAGCTTAGGTTCCCAGATTCTCCAACAACAAGTTATGCTAGCCGTGATTTAATCCGGGGGTTGCTGGTTAAGGAACCACAACACCGGTTAGGGGTGAAGAGGGGTGCAACTGAGATCAAACAACATGCTTTCTTCGAAGGCGTAAATTGGGCTCTAATACGGTGCAGCACTCCACCAGAGGTACCAAGACCAGTTGAGAACGAATTGCCTGGGAGATTTGGAGCAGTTGAGCCAGTAGGGGTTGGCAGTAGCAGCAAAAGGATGGTAGGAGGAGCTGACATGAAATCCGGGGGTAAATATCTCGATTTTGAGTTCTTCTAGCTTAGAAAATTGTTAAGCAGTGCTGTACTAATGTTGCCAATCATACATTTGCTTAGTTTTGATGATACTCTTCATCTTATAATCTCATCAAAAGAAATTCATCTTAATTAGAAATTGAATAGCTTATGTTACAAGCTTTATCTTGTTTCCCTCGTTCATATTTACTGGAATCCATACTATTCATTTTTTTCTTTTCCACGAAAATGGCAATGGTGCATTAGGATATAACCTGTCTTCAATTCCTAATTGAGGACTCCCATCTATTTTTTTCTTTCTTAGTTGAGGATTCCAAATTTAGGAGGGTCAAAAAATATATAAAAAAATGTGATTATGTGTGAAGATCTACAACTTTTGGTTTTCAGTGAAAATCGAATTTATATAAAAATAATTCCCCCATCATTTTCTTTTACCATCAAAATGCAAATTAAGCACTGAAATGATTACTTTTTGAGACGATTGTTCAAGATAACTTTTTAAACACTCTCTTCAAAAGTAATTGCTATTACTTGGCTTATAAAAAAGGACAAACAAAGAGACAACAATAGGATGGTAACAGAGTCTTGTAGGGTTATAGTATGCCTCTCCATCTTTATTCTTGTGAATTGTAAGGGCAAAATCACTGTGAAAATTTTTGACAAAGTAAAATTTGCTAACGTTCCTATTATTGATTCTTGTTTATCAAATTATATTATAAAATTAATTTAATTATTTTTATTTTATTATTTTAAAAAATATTTTAAATAGTCAAGTTTAAGTAAAAATATTTGTTGAATTTGATTTAGTTTAAATTAATTAAACTTTATATTAAATTAAAATTAAAAACGAATATAATATAAAAATTTAAAAATAAGTAATGTGTATGCATATAACTATAAATTAAATCTTTAAATTGTGTTGGATTTAATTTTTTTTTCCATTTTAAGCTATATAAAATTACAGTTTGAAACATGAAAGTGCTAAAATACTTTTAATAAATTTTATTTAGAAAAGATATTTAAATACTTTTCTAACTTGAATTTAAATTGAATAAAATCATTTATGCATAAATAAAACTGCTTTTAGTCAGGTAAATTAAAAAAAAAAAAAAACAATTGAGAAAAAAAAAAGTAGAATTGCCTATTTTGAGATATGGTAATGGGGATGCAAATTTTCCGTTCGATTTGAATTAACACTAATGAGTTATTTACTAAGAATATTTAAATAACTATTACAAATATTCTTACATTTCCTTTAGAAATCAACCTAAAAAGCACTTTTCAATTTGATAATACATGCTATTGTTTTAAGTTTTTTTTTTTTTTTCGCTTAACAAAGGAATGCTCATTGTTACCGCTAAAGATGAGCTTGGGATTTTCTAACTTGAGGTGTGGGTAAATAATTATAAGAAAAAATATATATTAATTTTGACTCCTAAAAATAATTAGAGTCTTAACTTTAAATTACGTTATTTTATTTAATTAAAATTCAATTCAAATTTTAAAAAATTATATTATTAAATATTAATATTTAGATTTGAAAATTAATAGAACTTTTGAATTTTAGATTGAGATTTTAATTCCTAAATATATATTAAAACTCTAATTTTTTAAAAAAATTAGAATTTATACGCATTATTGCTATAATCTCATAATTATATTTTTCACAAAAAAATCATCATATATTTTGCAAGGTCCGGGCCCTCCGGGACTAGACCACAAAAGTAACAGGACCACATTTATCTTGTTGGGTTTGGGTCCATTGGGCTTCCTGGCTCAACCCAGCACGAGCAACACTTCACTTCCAAGTAGAAATCGAGAAACTAGCAAGCAAGCATCAGAAGTTCAGAACGCTGCGATTTTCATTTACTATTTGCAATCGTCACCGCCTCGCTCTCCGTCTCGCGCGGAATGGCCGATCGGACGATGGAAAAGTCCGCCGCTGATTCACGCAGCAACAGGGCGGCCGTTCAAGCCACAAACGACGACGCCTCAGCCAGCAAATTGTACGTCTTCTTTCCTCCGACTTTATCTTTTGCCAACTTTTCTGTTTGCCGAGAGGAAAGTGAGATGCCTTTCTTCATCTTTATCTGCTCCGCAGTTCCTCCTGGAAATATGAATTTCACTCTCCATGTTTGAAGGAAAATGAAAGGAGATCTAGAAAGTTCAAATTAAATTTGAATAATAATCTGAATACTCTTTGTTTAAGTTTCATTTGTCTTGAAAACTTTCAGTTCTGTTCCTTTGCTTCATGAAATCATCATTCAAGCTAAAGTTGTAAGGTCTTTTTCTGCTATTACCAGCAATGTTGAATTGTTGATCACGATCTTAGCATGGTAATGGTTATGCTTCGTTTAGGTTTTCATTTTTCAGTAAGTTTGGAAAATGTCAATATCTTGATTTGAGGTAAAAATGGCGAGAAATTCTGCCTACATAACCAAACATGAAGAATATGAACTTAATCGACAATTAATTTCTGTTTATTGACGAAGTATTATGGATTTTGAGAGAGATTTATGGTTAGTTTGAACTAGGTTACAGAGGTCTTGATCATTTGATATTATTCTCATTAATTGCTTTCAAATAGAGTTTACCTGCAAGAGAAATGATGCTGCTGGAGTTTTAGAAAGATATTAACATTTTGGTTTGTATCTTAAAAGGTCATGTGTTAAGAAGGGATACATGAAAGATGACTATATTCGTTTATTTGTTAGAAGACCTGTGAAGAGATCTCCGATCATCAACCGTGGTATGGTTTATAGCTTTAAAATAGAAAAAGAGTTGAATCACTGTTATTCTCATCTCTCCTCTGTGATTTTTCTAATGTCTTCTAATTTTGATTTTGTTTTTTTTTTATTTTTTTTTGCTTATGTTAAGGTTACTTTGCTCGTTGGGCTGCATTTCGGAAGCTTCTTTATCAGTTTCTTGATTGTGAAGGAAGTAATGAAAAAGGTCATATGAAGAAGCAGATATTATCTCTTGGAGCTGGATTTGATACAACATATTTCCAGTTGCAGGTTCCTAACTTTCTTGTTAGCCGTGATAGTCTAAAGAATTCTTTCTCTTTGTTCTCTTCTTACGTAAAACATAGAAGGATTCAGTTGTTTGCTGTCAGATTTTCTTAATATACTAGTTAATCCATCAGTTTTTTGATATAAATCTTTATCCTGTTGCTTCATGCATACTGTTGCTTGGAACTTTTCGTATAACATTTTGTTTAGTAGATGGAAAACTGAATTTGTTTATTTAACTTTATTTTCGTGGACAGAATGAGGGGAAAGCACCACACTTATATGTAGAACTGGACTTTAAAGAGGTACAGGTTTGAAACTGTATTTACCCTCTCATGGTCAAAAGTAGCTTATATTTTATATGGGTGGGATGCATGGAATTCTCTGATAAGGTTAGGGGCATGCTGTAGATGGGAATTTATGTTAATATATCCATCAATCAGCTTTTCTTCATTGCAGATCTAGGGAGCAGTTATCAATGAAATGCTATCTGCAATTGGACACACTTTACACAAATTTGTTGAATACAAAGAAGTTTGGATGTGGGTTGTTTTTTAGAGTCTAACACTCCCTAAGAATTTTCATTTTTCCAGGTAACTGGTAAAAAGGCTTCCCTGATTGAATCCTGTATTGAGTTGAGAGACAGAGTTGGTACAACAGCACTGATTTCACCAGGTAAGCTGGATTGAGCTTGTCAATGCCATGGCCCCCTCTTATTGCCTTTTCCTGATGGCTAGCTTCTCTTTTTATGTCTCTGAATATTGTTGTTGTTTTTTTTAACTGGGGCTGGGAAACTATACAGTTGACTTGGTTTACCCCAAGGTACATAAACCTCAAGCATTTATGATGCAATGCAAACATAACTTTCAACTACTTTTCTATAAATAATTATCATATTTGGTTTGTGTTGGTTTTCTTTTTGTCAATGTGTGGGAACTTTTGTTTGTATAGAGATCGTTTATCGGCGCAGTTGTTAGGAGATATTTTGAGGCTATGGTGGCATACTTTTACAATGTCTTCATGAAAATGTAATTGCCATCACCTATCTGTCCTTTTTAGTGCTCCTAGTTCATCTGTGTAACAAACTTTTGAAGAAGTCTTGTTCCGTCTCCTACTTTAAAGTCTTTTTCTGGTAATTTTTGTGCCTATGATCCTTTTTGGGAATTTCATGTGATGTTATATGTATTTTGGTAGAGAATGGAGAAGTTCTCAGTGATCACTACAAGCTACTACCAGCTGATTTGCGCAACATACAGAAATTGGATGATGTCATAAGTTTAGCTAACATGGATCCCAGGTATGTTCATTGATAAATTCTTCCTTTCCAATATTTAAGAGAATATTTGTTTGTGGTTTATTCATATCCTTTAGGTTTCAATTCAATTAATGACTATCTCCTTTTGTCTTTCCAATTCCCCATATTTCACATTAGTAAATATGTTGGGTTTTTATGTGTTTATGCCAATTCTATCCCCCTCTCTTCTACAACCTCAAAGCTGCACCCTGTTTGGTATTAAAATTTTATATTTTCTTTCCAGTTTCTCTTTGCTCTTTGAAGAACTGTTTTACTTTTACCTGTATTTCTAAGAGGATCTAGTAATTTCCTTCAATGTGAGAATGATGAAGCTTCCTTCTGATATTGGTATCAGCCTGCCCACCTTTATAATTGCAGAATGCGTTTTAATATACTTGGACCCAGATTCAACCCGCGCTATAGTTGGGTGGGCATCAAAAACTTTTTCAACAGCAATATTTTTCCTATATGAGCAGGTTCGGATATAATTCCATCCATCTTTAGTCTCTATCTGCATGTTGGTTGTAGTTTGTCTTTTTGCTACAGTTAATTGTTCATGTGCCTTTTGTGGTTGTTTTATTATACATCAAAATTATGATGATTGTGTATGTTTCATGGTGCTTGTCAACAGATTCATCCAGATGATGCTTTTGGTCAGCAAATGATAAAAAATTTGGAGGTAAATATTTTAGATTTTTCCTTAGTGATTTGTTTCCTGTGAAGGGGATTTTCTGGATGTTTTACTTTCATTTGTGGAAATGGAAATGAAGCTGTGCCTACAGAAATTATATTGGCATGCTGGAATTTTTAACATCTAGGGACCAAACTGTTTATAACACATTTGAGGGTGTGCTTTGTTGCCTTTTTTTCTTGACTATTTAGAAACTTACGCTGGTCAATAGCCCTTTTATGTCCTACAGTTACTAGCTTTTATTCTTCAAGAGATCAAAAGATGTGAATATGAAACTTGTCTTTGTTCATTTCTTTTTTGAAACATGGTTAATAACTTCTATTCCTATTTTGTTTCAGAGTCGAGGCTGTGCACTTCTAAGTATTTATGCTACGCCAACTTTGCTTGCAAAGGAAAAGCTATTTCTTGATCAGGGATGGCAGGTATATCTTATAATTAATTGCATATTTTTCTTTTCTTAGGTTTTGATGGATTAGTGTAGAATGATGATAGAGGATTTTGAAAAGGGAAATAATTTGTCTCTACTTGTAAATCTAAATCATGTTATCCATCTTTTAGGTGCCTTTGAAACTATTTCTTATATTTTTATTTTCTTGGTCAGCTATTTATTTCTTGATCAGCTCTTTTTTTTTTCTTCTTCTTTTCCCATTTTGGGTTCTGTTTGACGTGTTGATTTGATTGATCTTTTCTATTTTTCTTTCAATCTGTTAATGTGTCTGATATTCTGTGTCTGAGGTGTCAGAGAGCTGTTGCATGGGACATGCTGAGAGTTTACAGTAAATTTATTGATGCTCAAGAAAGACGAAGGTATGGCTGCTTTAATATTGAAATTATTTATATATCATTCATTTGTTTCATCCTGTACTGAATTTATAAACTAAATTCTGAAAATTCATAAACACATGTTAAAACCAAAAAAAAAAAAAAAAAAAAAGGGTTCTCACTTTCTCACTATTTTATTAAACATATATTCTTGGTTAGATACTTTTGGAAGGTGGTAGCCTTGATTACTAAAGAAAAAAACTCACGTCCTTAATTAGAAAAGTTTAAAAAGGTTGTGTCCTTATTTGTATGAAATCTTCTGCTTTGCTCAACACTGCCTTTTTTCTCCTTTCTTATCTATTTTACATTGAGATACTCACCACTTCCTTTTCTGAAATATTCTCATGTATGATATTCTGGTGTTTCTGGTGGTCAGAATTGAGAGGTTGGAATTGTTTGATGAGTTTGAAGAGTGGCATATGATGCAGGTAAGTAAAAAGTAAAAATTCTAAAAGCACAGGGAATATTGATATTATACATTTGTACAACGTGCATCAAGCACATGAGGTGGCCTTAAATATCTATTTTTGATGGCAACTTAAGGGTTCTTAATCCTGGCTTGCTCATCTCAGATGAAAATTTGGTTGTCAAATTATCAATGGTAATTGTATTTCATGTTATTTTCTTATCATCATTATTAGTATTAATTTTGTTCTGAGCTGCTAATTTTCAGGAGCATTATTGTGTGGCTTATGCAATCAATGATGCCGTGGTACGTCTGTATGCATGACAAAAACCTCTTTAATTTGGCTTCATTTTCCTCTACCATGTCCATTTGCTTGATCTTCTCTTGTATTATGCTCAAAATAGTGTGGCTACTTTCCATGTAATAAAGCAAATTAGCATTACCTAAAAATATTATATAGAATGGATAATGGAACAATTTATAGAATAGACAAGTATCTTTCAAAAAGAAAAGTAAATAAATAAATAAATAAAGGATGAATATCAAGGTCAACATTACATTTGATTGATCTATATAATTATGAAAGTTTTGACAAACTGCTGCCTACTTTTGTCATGATAGATTCGCTCACTATCTCAGAGGTCTGATACTTCTATTAGGATCTAGTATGATGAAACTGCATTGGAACCATCATTCTTTAATGATGTTGACATTATACGTATATCCTTTTTCTGTGCTGGATACGCTTGTATGTAGATCTGAGTACTTAACCTTTCCATGGTTCAGGGGTTGTTTGTGGAATTTGGTTTTCCTGATGACCAACAGCACATGCTCAGCGCCAGTTCAGCTGCATCATCATGACCATGAGGGCATGAGGCTTCCACGGCTGCTCTAACATGATAATATGTTCTCAACTTTGGATTAAAAATTCTAGCGGACAAGCATGTGTGACTCACAAGTGTCTGTTAGCAGGTTTTCGTCAGGTAAAAAGGTGCCTCTTCCAACTAGTAGTTAGTCTTTAGCTAAGAGTCTCCAGGAGCCTTTTATGACTTGTGAAGGAGGTGCATCCCTCTCTATGCATATTGTTTTTTAGACTCGAGAAAAACAGATTCTTTCTTTTCTATGCTAGCTGTTTGGCAAAAGAAAACGTGGTGGGACCCAAACAGTGTCAAAAGTGACTCACACCTTTGGTTGGTGGGGGCACGATCATGTGGCTATCTATCTATATGTATGCATAGTTTGGTTGCTTTTCAATTTATTCCCCCAAAATTTCCCTTTCCCATCCTTTCTTGCCTCCTTTTCTCCCCCATTTTCTTTACCATGCCATGAGAATGTTAAGATATGAACTGTTGAAAAATCAATGACATTTTGAGCACTAATTTCTATTTTTCTTCTATATGCCAAGAGGCCAAGTTTTGTTGTGGTGATGGTAGGAGTGGGACGAAAGAAAGATGATTGAAAAATTACAGCGACAATGGGGGTTACTTTTCATGTTTCCATTTGGAAATGATTTTTTCTCCCACTAGGCAAAAGAAAGTTTGCTTGACCAATTATCATATTTGATGTGCTTATAAAGTTATAATCTAAGGCAAGTCCATAAAAAAGAGAGCATAAAGAAGAAATGTAGAAGGTAAAGATAATGTGGTATTGGAGTAATGAAGTAGCTTTAGGGTCCATATCGCTTGCCTTTTTTGCAGATAATAGTAATATCAGTTACGATCATTTTCTTTGGATTGCGACTTACCATTGCTCTGTTTCTTCGACTTTTTAGACCCTGTTTAACGTTTATAACGGCCAAATCCGAGAGGAAACAATTTTTTTTTTTTTTAAATAGAGAGAAAATAATTTATTCCTGCAGCTTTTGGTGATACTTTGTGTTGCAGTTCGGAAACTGGAAGAGACATGGAGCTCCCCTATTTGGAAACAGTAAAAAAATTCTAGAAGTCGGCTAGTGCACTTTTTATTTATTTATGTTTATTTTGAGTAGAATCTTTTCGAAACAAAAAATTAAAACAAATGAAGGAAAAAAAGATAGCATTTGATGTTATGTAAGAAAATAGACCTTGGATGATCATAGGTCAATTGAATCAATAATAAAGTAACATTTAACTGTCTTAAAAGATGAAAGGTGGATTTTTCTGATGAGAACATTTTACTGATTTAATGGGGAATAAGATACTCGAGACAAAGAAGATAAGGAAAGTTCTTCCTTTCACACTCTTAAGTTTATAACTCCAAAAGCACAACCATAATAAAGGAAAAACGTGGTTGGGT